ACTGGGTGCACTCTCTCTCAAAATAAATAAATAAACTTAAAAAATCATTTACGGAAGGGCGCCTGGGTGGCACAGTCGGTTAAGCATCCGACTCTTGATCTCTGCCCAGGTCATGATCTCACGGTTTGTGAGTTCAAGCCCCGCATGGGGCCGTGTGCTGATGGTGTGGAGGCCGCTGGGGATCCTGTCTCTCCTGACCTGTCCTTGCTCGTGCTCTCTCTCTCTCATAATATACAAATAAACTTAAATAATAAAAGATCATTTATTGAGTACTGAGTACCTGCTAAGCATTATCGTGTTCAGTTCTTGCAACTGCCCTTTGAGGTAGACAATAAAATCACCATTCTACCTTTCAGGAATCTCATACTTAGCGATACCCTGGGTGTCTTGCCCAGGACCACGTACATAGCTAGTAAGCGGTTCAGCTGCTCTGCCTGACTCCAAAGCTCTTACTCACCAAATGATGCAGTTTTTACCGAGCTAACATGTTTACTGGGAGGCAGGGAGAAACACTCATGGTGATTATGTTGAACTAAATCTCTGGCCACGCCCTGGATCTGACCCTACAGCACACAGATTGGAGAGCCCCAGGCCTCTCTGGAAACTCTCCCACCCAACCACCCAATTGTCCAAAAGGCCACCCACCCCTTCCCAGAGTTCTAGGTTACTGGGCGCTACCCTTCACCGCTCCTGGGGGGCCCTTCCGGAGACTCCCCTCTACATCACTCCGACTGCGATGGGGCTGGGAGTTTGCCTGAGAAGGGGAGAGACTGCCAGACCACTTCCTCCACAGGCAGAATAGTGGGCCTTTGAAAGACTGGTTGGGCAGGGCACAGTGTGGAACTGGAAAGCGGGCTGGGCTGGGCACTGACTTCCAGTTCTGGCCCTGCCACTTGCCAGCTGCTTGACCATGGCTAGGCCACTCTCTCTGCCCCTCTCTGGCTTGTGCTCTCTCTCTCTCTCAAAATAAATAAACTTAAAAAAAACTAATTACATAGACTTCTCTTTAAAAAAATTTTTTTGATGTTTGTGTGTGTGTGTGTGAGAGAGAGAGAGAGAGACAGAGTGAGAGCTGGGGAGGCGCAGAGAGAGAGAGGGAGACTGAATCTGAAGCAGCCAGGCTCTGAGCTGTCAGCACAGAGCCCGACGTGGGGCTTGAACCCACAAACCACGAGATCATGACCTGAGCTAAAGTCAGATGCTTAACCGACTGAGCCACCCAGGCGCCCCGAATTACATAGACTTTTCTAGGAATGCATAGGTTTTGTGAATGCCAGACTTCATGCTTTACATTTGTTCTCATAGTTTCCCTTATTTCACCTACTCATTTGGCAAACATTCACTCAAAGCTGAATAATCAAGAAAGCGTGGTACTGGCATCAGAATAGACCTATGTATCGATTGAATGGCATTGAGAGTTTAGAAATAGACTTTGATACTCATGGCCAACTGACTTTTGAAAAAGGCACTAAGGCACCTTATCAGAGAAATGACGGTCTCTTCAACAAATGGTGCTGGGCCAACTGGATGTTCCCATGCGAAAGAATGACCGTGGACCCCCTACCTCACGCCACACACACAAATTAACGCAAAATGGATCTAGGCACCAGCATAAGAGCTAAAACTAAGGAGAGAAACGTAGAGGGAAATCTCCGTAACGCTGACTCTTTAGACATGGCATCAGATTCTTTAGACATGGCATCAGAAGTATGGTCCATAAAAGCAAAAAACAATGATAAATTGGACTTCTTTTGAATTAAAAGCTCTGCACCTCAAAAGATAATATCAAGAAAATGAAAAGACAAGCCACAGACTTGGAGAAAATATCAGCATATTGGGTCTGATAAAGGACTTGCATCCAGGATACACAGAGACTTGCGGGGTCCCAGGCGCCGTGGACTTCAGTTTAGAGGTTCCCTCACTGCATGCTCCCCACAACCCCCCCCCAAACTCACAATTCTCATTCTACATATGAAGAAACAGTACCCGGAGAGTTCAAACACCTTGTCAAAGGTGGTGGGTCTTAAGTTGAGGCAGAGCTGGGGCCCAGACACGTCTGGCTCTACCGCAGAGTGATTCTTAGCCTTGGCTACACAGAAACTCCCAGAGGGCTTTACAAAATCACAACCCTCAGGTTAAACTGCAGACAAACGAAATCAGAATCTCTCGGCAGTAGGTGTTAAACTCCTGGGTGAATCCTAGCGTACAGCCAAGGTTGAGGAGCACCGATTTAAAGTGAGGGTTCTTAATTTCTCAGCCAGCATGCTCCAAAGCTGGGATGTTCATTCAAACTATGGAGGTTCCCAGGCCCCTCTTGCAAATGTGGACTGTATGTCTGGGGCGGGGCCTGGCAATTTGTGCTTTTCACAATCTGGGTGAATATTACGACCAGACGTGTGTCTAAGCTGCCTCCTCTTACCTCCAAGGCTGCAAGGTGCCAGACCAGTGGGCCATGGCCACTGGCGCCTGAGATGCAAGGCCAAGAGTTATTGTGACAGCCCAGAAGCACTTGCTTGGAGTGGCCTTGGGCCTTGGAGCCGCTGGGGTAGGAGTGAGGGAGTGAAGGTTATCCTAGGCCCCTTTGCATCCACGTATGATGTTCCTCAAAGGCAGCGTCATCCCAGCCTGCTTCCAGCCCCAGAACTGCTCGACCTGAGTCAGACTCACAGGAAACAGGATTTCCCGCTCTTTCTCCTGGTCTGGAAACTCTCTTGTAACCCGGGAAAGGTAGAGGCCATGGCTCGGACAGCAGAGGATGGGAACAGAAACACAAGTGGCAGAAGTTGCCCCAGTGTGTCCATTCTACATGGGCAAGGGTAGGGCCTTGTGAAGACGACGGTCAGTTCTCGCCTTCACCAGCGCCCTGCGGAGGGGCCACAGCACTGCTCCTGGGCCCCCACAGTGACGACGGGCTGCCTGTCTCTCCTTCTGGTAAAAGACACTTGCTGCAAAAGCCAGTTCTCTGGGGACACAAGGAGGCTTAAGAACATGAGGAAACTCCAGGGGCGCAAAAATAGCTCTTTAGCCCAGATCATATGTGAAACAGCTTCGCTTTCCTCCTTGGTTCCTCCCAAGGCCAAGCCAGGGGCGAGAACGGAGGCATTGTTTTCTATCTGGTGGCAGACAGAGGGGACATTTAAAGGCTGGCCCGGTGACGGGAAGACAGCTCATTCAGGGACCCAGAGTGAGCTCTTTCTCCCAAGCCGGCAGGGCCCGAAGATGAATAGCGAGGTCAGAGCGGGGGTCTCAGGAGGTCTCTCCCCGCCCTGGTGAGACAGAGGCCGCCGGCTGCAGAGCTGTCTGCCTGTTGGGGGGGG